TAACCCCTAACCTTAACCCCTAACGCTAACCCCTAACCCCTAACCCTAACCCCTAACCTTAACCCCTAACGCTAACCCTTACCCCCTTACCCCTTAATTCTAACCCCTAACCCTAGGGTTACCCCTAACCCTATCCCCTAACCCTAACCCCTAACTCCTAACCCTAACCTCTAACTTTGGTATTTCCCCTGAATATGAACTCTAACCAGCTCTAGTTGCTCCTCCTCTTCTGGTCAATAATATCAATAGAGTTTACTCTAACTTTTATTAGAGTTATATTACTCTCTATGTCCAATCCCTGCTCATCTAATACTAAATTCCGTGATCGGGCTCATGTGATATCAACACCGCCCAATAATAATAAAAGAAGAGATAAAACAGGACCAACATTTTTGTGTATCAGCCCTGGAAAGGCACTCCTTCTTTTTCATGACTTTTTGATTTAGCGGGACAAACGAAAGCACCAACTTTGTGTCAGTGCCTCCTTCCCTTCATCCCCTCATCCCTTCATCCCTTCATCCCCTCATCCCTTCATCCCTTCATCCCTTCATCCGGTATCTGTAGACGAGAAGCGGTAGGCTGGAATCAGGCCAGAGCCCTGGTGTGACAACGGGGGACCAGAAAGAGGGGAAAACTAAACCAGAGAAGAAGAAACAGACTGGGTCAGAGTTGGAGTTCCTCTGGGGTTTCTCTCACACTTCTACACAACCCAGAAAGCAAAAAAAACCCAGAAAAGCCAGAAGCATCTTCTCCAGCGTTGGTTTCTGTCTTTGTTTGCTGTAATTAGGAGGCTGGGGGCTGTCGGAGGCCGCTCTGAGGGTAAAAGCTCGGGTTTAGAGTTTATAGCCCCGGCCAGAGCTCCTCTGAGGCCTTTTGTCTAGAACGTACAGCCCGGATCAAAGGCATCCACAGCCGACCAATCAGAGGCCTGCTCTCTGACCAGACGCTGTTTTTCCAGCTCCGTTTGTTGGACGTTTTGTTCAGACTTTAAGTATCAAACGTTGTTCTGTTGATCTGTGTTGTGGAGGCTCCTATTACCACCTTTAAGGGCCCCAATTAGTTAATTAGAAGATACCATTGTTCCAAAGACTGAGGGGGGGATGTTCATTTTGAAGCTAAGTTCAATTGAGCCTAAGTCATTTTGTCATTTTACTATATTTGTATTAAGTTCAATATGATTTTGCTTCTATTTTGTTAGGTTTTGTGTTTATTGTACTTCTATGATGTTCCTCCCTCATGTGGGAAGTTTAGGGTTAGGGTTAGAGTTAGAGTTAGGGTTAGGGTTAGGTCCCCACCTATTTTATATTTATATAAGATATATATCACATATTATTCTACATGTACAGATTCAAAATCCTGAGACTTTGGTACTCAGGTAACTATTATTACCTGAACCAGCTAATGATAGTTTTCCCTCTAAAAACAAGATGGAGGAAAATGGAGAAATAACTCTGCACTGCTTTGAAAAGTATCCATTAACACTAAATTACAGCAGATTTATTGAAGTTTGGATAACTGTAATAAAGCTAATCCTGAATAAAAACGTCTAGATTTAACCCCTGATTGCTTCTTTCTGAGCTCATTTCTGACTCATTTTCCCAGAATTCTTTGTGATTTCTAGGACTTTTGAACATTTGGGGCTGTGGATCGGCTGTTTATTGAGTTAAGTCTTGAAATTTGTTTTTGCAAAGAGTTATTTGCTGGTTCTTAAAATCAAATCGGCATGCTAACAGCATGCTAGCAAACATTTTCCGTTCCAGGGCAGACCAACTGTAAACTGTTTTGCTAAATGATTTGGTGGAAATTATTATATGATTATAAACATTTGTGGGTGTGGATCCGCTCTTTATTGAGTTAAGTTTAGAGTTTGAAGTTTGCTTTTGCAAAGAGTAATTTGCTAGTTCCTAAAATCAAATCGGCATGCTAACAGCATGCTAGCAAACATTTTCTGTTCCAGGGAAGACCAACTGTAAACTGTTTTGCTAAATGATTTGGTGTAAATTATTATATGATTATGAACATATGGGGCTGTGTATCCGCTCTTTATTGAGTTAAGTTTAGAGTTTGAAGTTTGCTTTAGCAAAGAGTTATTTGCTAGTTCCTAAAATCAAATCCGCAGGCTAACAGCATGCTAGCTAACTAACAAACAGCCAGTTACGGTGCAATTTTTCTGTAATGAGCAAACTAATCCTCAATTCCCCCGACACACACCCTCCTATGACCAGAAAAAACTGAGATTATCATCATTTTGTGTGATAATTCATTCAGTTTTTGCCAATTAGCGCGACTTTGATCACCCCTCTGGAGCAGTTATGTAACCAGATGAAAGCATTTTTCCCTCAAAAACAAGATTCTGCTCCTGCCAATAAGTCTTAAAATGGACAAAAAAACAAAAAGTCTCCATTAACACTAAATTACAGCAGATTTATTGAAGTTTGGATAACTTTGATAAAGCTAATCCTGAATAAAAACATCCCGATTTAACCCCAAACTCACTCCTTCAATTATTTTTTGCAAATACTGAAGAAAATCTTCAGGATTTCTGACTTTTTCATGAATTTTTTATTTAAACTGAGCACTACTTCTGGGAAAAAAGGGGGAAATTATATATCAATGTGTTAGTCGGGTTGAATAAAAATGAGGAAAAAGTCGATATATAGTTATTCTTTCCGACTTTATGCCCCAAAAACAGACGAATCTGAGCTCTTTTCGACCTGAGAGGATAAATCTGCTCCTTTGACTAGAGGCTGACTGAATAAAAACATCCGGATTTAACCCCTGATTGCCTTGTGGCTCCTTTCTAAACCCAAATCCTTTTCCTCTGATTGTTTTTCCCAGAATTCCCTGTCATTTCCAGGAATCGTGTCCCTCTGAATCCTTTATTTAGGTCAAATAAATGCCAGCAAACTCACTCACACACACACCTTCAGTTTGATTTTTACTGTCATTGTGACTAATGAGGAAAACATATAGGATTTATTAATTTTCTTCTTATAAGTGAAGAGTAATTTCTGATTCAAACCGACCACCGCTTCTAGAAAAAAGGG